CCCCCCCCAACACGCACGCAAGTGGGTGGTTGGCGGGTGCTCTGGTGTGGTTTGGCTCCTTCTTTCTTTTCAAACATCTATCGTCCTGATTTCTCCTCCTTCTATTTTATGATTGTTTGTTACTCTCTTATAACGCCTCTAATCTTCGGCACTTATAGGACCTTACTGTGTTGCTAGTGCCGTAAAACTCTTACTAATACTAAACACACACAAAACTACCAATAACAACAACAACAACAAAACACCCCACCAAAAAAACCCCACCAAAACAACACAAAAAACCCCCAAAACCCAAAACAAAACAAAAAACCAACAACCTCACAAAACTAGCAACAACAAATTGTCATGAGACCTGCACTAGACTGTTCTTGTAGACGACCACGGAGTTCCCTGTGATGGCGCAGGCCGCCTTGGAGTGAGACGGAATCTGTTGTAAGGAGCTGAGGACCGCGCACTGTTTGCCACCCACACCGGATGAGCTGTCCTCCTTTATCACGACGGCCACGCACGAGTCGACACATTTGACGCCACACTCGGTGTTGGTCGTTACAGATGTGAAGATGAGCGAGCTGTTGGTTAGGGCACTGGGCGTGGTGCAACTGTACTTTTCCAACAGAGCCTCGCGCACGCTTCCTTCTGCGCTGTGCAGAAATAGGAGGCTGAGGTGAGCCAAGGTGTGCAGGACTTGATGAAGGTGATCTCGCCTGATGGAGGTGAACATTGTTGCTCCTGAGGGCGAGACATGAAAATAAACGGTGCATCTTGTATTTGCTTTAGTTTTAGTAAGAGTTTAGCGGCATTTGCAGCACAATTAGGTCTTATAAGTTTCCTGCCAGAAGATCAGGGATGTAGCTGAAAGACAAGCAGTAAGAAGGAGCCAGGAAGTCGCAGTAGAAAGGCTACAGAAAGAGTCAGTAGCCCAAAGGAGGGAGCAGGTGAGTGATGTGGAGGGGGACAGAAAGTGGGGACGAAAGAAGACAACAGAACATTGTTGGAGAGCAGGAAAAGAGGTGAAAGGAGACAATTTTAGAGAAGAATTTTTTTCTCCGTCGCCACCCGGATTCGAACCCGGGACCTTTGAATGAGAGGCAAACACCTTAATCTATAGGCCGCGAGAGCCCACGAGATTAGAGATGTTACAAGAGAGTAGCAAACACAAGAAAGAAGGAGGAGAGATAAAGACGATAGATGTCTAATAGGGAAGAAACAGCAAACCACACGAGAGCTCCCTCCAACCACCCACAATGCATCTTTGTGGCATCGCATGGGTTAAGCTTAACGAGTTAACATCCATCACGATAAGATAAGATAAGATAGATAGATAAGATAAGATAAGATAACAATTAAGATTTATTTTTCTGCTCTTGCAGACAGCAACAATATAATAATGGACAATTATAGATAGAGTAGCTTAACCTACGTTATAGATGCTTGTTTTCATTTTTATAAAATGTCCCATTCTTTCGTCCTTCTCTTTCTTCTCACGACCTCGACACTTCTCCTTAAACAACACGAGTTGTACACTTGGCTAGATCTCCATTGATCGTGTGTTGTTTTTCCTGTCTGTGTACAAGTCTTTGAGGACACAGTGGACGCACCACAACATACGCCATCCGCAGCAGACCAAACGCCACGCTGCAAAGACATTCCCCATCACCATACACGTACATAAATTATAAGAACCACCAAGTTGTATATCTATGGCATGAATTTTGCGGCATGGCTTTTCAAGTGGCTACCTCAGATGTACAAAGTTTAGTCTGACATGTTTGACCGTTGTGAGTTACTAAGACCACGAGGTCAGAAAACAAAAATTGTTCTACCGGCTCTAATTAAGTCGTAAGATTATTCGGAGTCGTTATAAGGTATTATATTCAAAGAATTGCATTCAGTAAAGCATGACATATGAAACTCTAGTTTTTTTTAACTTCAAATTTCTCAAAACCAGGTCCTGAGCAGATAAAACTTTGTAGTTTTTAGGGTAGCGAAGTTTGAGAGAAAAGATAATTTAAAAAATATGTCTGAAAATGAATGTTACACTTCTTTCTTAGAGTGCCTCCCTTCCCCCAACCCC